AGTTCAAAACTGTCCTGGCCAACATGGTAAAACCCTGTTTCTCCTAAAAACACAAAAATTAGCCAGGCGTGGTGGCGAATGCCTGTGGTCTCAGCTCCTCAGGAGGCTGAGGCAGGAGAATTGCTTGAACTCGGGAGGCAGAGGTTGCAGTGAGCCGAGATCATGTCACTCTGCACTTCAGTCTGGGTGACAGAGCAAAATTCCATCTCAAAAAAAGAAAGAGAGATAATTCTTATGCTGATGCTTATAAATCATTCCTTATGTTTAGAGTGTGAAGATTAAGAAGGAAAGAGACTTGCACATAGACCAAGGGTGTTAATGGAAGGCAGAGGGAAAGTTCAAATCTTCAATGCCTCTTTGCATTCAAATTCTCGGTCTCAGCACAGGGAAAGTGTCCTTCAATCCAGGTATTCCACAGTGCCATAAATGAAGGGTCATTTAAGCAAAACTTCTGCTACACTTTAAATGTCTGTCCCCTCCAAAACTCATGTTAAAACTTAATTGTCACTGTAATGGTATTAAAATGTATGACCCATAGAGGTGATTGGGCATTAAACCACCCCCACGGGTTAGTTTAATTCCTTTTGTAAAAAGGAGTTTTAGGAATGGATTCTCTTTCTTGGCTTTTTTGCTCTTCTGCCATTTGAGGAAAAATGTTCCTCCCTTCTGGGTAATGCAGGTTTTAAGGCGCCATCTTGGAAGTCATAATCCAGACCTTTCCAGGCACCAAACCTACCATCACCTTGATCTTGAACTCCCAGCCTCCAGAACTATGAGAAGAAAATCTGTTGTTTATAAATACCTCATTTCTGGTATTCTATTATAACTGTACAAAACAAACTGAGATACCTTCCCTGTCCCCTAGGAAACCCACATTCACCACTTGAGGCAGTTAAAAAGTTAGTTTTTGTTCTCTATTTTTCATGTTAATTTTTAATCGTGGGAAGGAAATTTTATGGCAGCAGGAGTTAACTAACTCACTTCAATGTTCGCAAACTTTGAGAGCCATAAACTTATGTTTAAACTTTCCATCAGCTGGGATACATTTATCTGCAAGTTACAGAAATCTTAACTGAAATGGCATTTATAATAAGCACATTTACAGGCTTACATATGGAAAATCCTGAGGATGAATGGAAAATAGAGTTAAATTATTCTATAGTTCAATAATAATATAATAAAAAATGTAAGTTCTATCTTTGTCTTTCATCATCCACTTCATCCGAAAGCTTGTTCTCCTCATACATAGTTGTAGACTGGGTGCCAGTAGTAATCAAGGTTGGGCAATGTGCATATTTTTGTAAACAGGAGAGATCAGACCCTCTCCCTCAAACTTGAAACAAAAATATTTATTGATTGAGCCCATCATATGCCACCTCTGAACCTAATTATCACCAGGAAAATGCTTTGTGCTGATTGGTTTAAGCCTGGGTATGCTAATCACTAGCAAAAGGGATGGGATGGTTATGACTGGTTTAGGCCAGAGGTCAGCAAACTGTAGATCCAGGCCAAATCCTGCTTGCCAGCTGTTTGGGGGAAGTTTTATTAAAACACAGTTATGTCTTCCTTTGTTTATGGCCACTTTTACTGCAACAGCAGAATTCAATAGCTCCAACAAAGACCATGAAGCCCCAAAACCTCTACTATTTACTCTTTGGCCCTTTACGGAAAAAGTTTGCCAAGCCCTGGTTTACATTAACGTGGGTCTACTTCGGCCCTGTGTTTAATTCCCTCAACTATGATACTCCTACACAGAGAGGGAAAGTTTGGACTCCATGTGGATCTCCTCCCATGTCAACCTAAGGTTATTTTTTTCTTTGGCTCTTTCCTAAGCAAAGCTGAAAAAGAACTGAGCACACAAATTTCAGAATGAAAGCCTTTACTTTCAAAAGCACATTGACTCCAGCAGTATTTCTGTCTTCCAGAGTGATAAGTATCCGTTCCTGACATTGATCTGTGTTCCAGCCTTGACTGTATATTGTTTTGTTGGATTAACTTGAAGTTATTTGTTAATTCCATGGAACCAGACTATCCAAACTATCTGCCAGATCTTCAACCCACCAACAGAGTTAGATGGAATTCCCCAGAGTCCTGCTGCAGTCATAGAAGAAACATCAGCCCTAAAAATAGGGCACTGCTTTGCAATGCCTGGTCAGTCACAGGCAGAATGGCTCCTTTCCACATTCACATCAATGATTTTCTTTTTTTCTTTTTCTTTTTTTGAGTTGGAGTCCTGCTCTGTCATCTAGGCTGGAGTGCAATGGCACAATCTTGGTTCACTGCAACCTACGCCTCCCGGGTTGAAGCGATTCTCCTGCCTCGGCCTCCCCAGTAGCTGGGATTACAAGCATGCACCACCACGCCCTGCTAATTTTTGTATTTTTAGTAGAGACAGGGTTTCACCATGTTGGCCAGGCTGGTATCTAATGTCTGACCTCAGGTGATCCACCCACCTCAGCCTCTAGCAGTGCTGGGATTGCAGGCGTGAGCCACCGTGCCCAACCTCACATCAGTGATTTTCCAGATAGGTAAGTGATTTCCTGTCCAAACAGCAATCTGACCTTTCTTTTAAAAATAGCTTTTCTGGATATCAGCCCTTTGTCAGATGGGTAAACTGCAAAAATTTTTTCCCATTCTGTTGGTTGCCGATCCACTCTAGTGACTGTTTCTTTTGCTGTGCAGAAGCTGTGGAGTTTCATTAGGTCCCATTTGTCTATTTTGGCTTTTGTTGCCAATGCTTTTGGTGTTTTGTTCATGAAGTTTTTGCCTACTCCTATGTCCTGGATAGTTTTGCCTAGATTTCCTTCTAGGGTTTTTATCGTGCCAGGTCTTATGTTTAAGTCTTTAATCCATCTGGAGTTAATTTTAGTGTAAGGTGTCAGGAAGGGGTCCAGTTTCTGCTTTCTGCACATGGCTAGCCAGTTTTCCCAACACCATTTGTTGAACAGGGAATCCTTTCCCCCTTGCTTGTTTTTGTCAGGTTTATCAAAGATTGTATAGTTGTAGATATGTTGTGTTGCTTCCGGTGCCTCTGTTTTGTTCCATTGGTCTATATCTCTGTTTTGGTACCAGTACCATGCTGTTTTGATTACTGTAGCCTTGTAGTATAGTTTGAAATCCGGTAGTGTGATCCATCTGACAAAGGGCTGATATCCAGAATTTACAAAGAACTCAAACGGATTTACATGAAAAAAACAAACAAGCCCATTCAAAAGTGGGCAAAGGATATGAACAGACACTTTACGAAAGAAGACATATATGAGGCCAACAATCATATGAAAAAATTCTCGTCATCACTGGTCATCAGAGAGATGCAAATCAAAACCACATTGAGATACCATCTCACGCCAGTTAGAATGGCGATCATTAAAAAATCTGGAGACAACAGATGCTGGAGAGGATGTGGAGAAAAAGGAACACTTTTACACTGTTGGTGGGAGTGTAAATTAGTTCAACCATTGTGGAAGACAGTGTGGCGATTCCTCAAGGCCTTAGAAATAGAAATTCCATTTGACCCAGCAATCCCATTACTGGGTATATATCCAAAAGACTATAAATCGTTCTACTATAAGGACACATGTACACAAATGTTCATTGCAGCACTGTTTACAATAGCAAAGACCTGGAATCAACCCAAATGCCCATTGATAATAGACTGGATTGGAAAAATGTGGCACATATACACCATGGAATATTATGCAGCAATCAGAAATGATGAGTTTGTGTCGTTTGTAGGGACATGGATGAATCTGGAGAACATCATTCTCAGCAAACTGACACAAGAACAGAAAATGAAACACTGCATATTCTCACTCATAGGCGGGTGATGAAAAATGAGAACACATGGACACAGAAAGGGGAGTACTAAACACTGGGGTCTATTGCGGGGAAAAGGGGAGGGCCAGTGGGAGGGGGAGGTGGGGAGGGATAGCCTGGGGAGAAATGCCAAATGTGGGTGAAGGGGAGAAGGAAAGAAAAGCACACTGCCATGTGTGTTCCTACGCAACTGTCTTGCATGCTCTGCTCATGTACCCCAAAACCTAAAATCCAATAAAAAATTTAAAAAAATAAATAAATAAATAAAAATAGCTTTTCTCATTTATTTTTATTATGACAAGAGCAATGCATGTCCATTGTAGAAACATTAGAAACACAGATAACCAAAGGACAAAAAAAAAAAAAAAGAAAACTTGTCACCTTCCCACACTCCCAGGGAACTTTAAAAGTAAACAGTATGTTCTGGAGATGTAGTCTGCCCTCCAGATGGTCTGAACTGGCTTTGACTTTTCCAGCAGGAAGTCAAAATGGAAGATTTTAATTTTTAGCTCCTATATTCATGAAGTTACTAAATGGGCCTATTCTTTGACTAGCCTTTCCAAGGGTCTTTATTTTTATTAAATTGTGAATTTTCTGACTGTTTAAAGAAATTTATGGAAAAGGGCAGGGTTTGAGAAGTTGCTGTTTTGAATAACTTATTGTTATGTACACCTTTTAGAGTCTTACAAATATGAAAGAGAACCTATTTCTCTTCATTTGGACTAGTACATCTAATTCTATCTCATTTTGTACATAAAAGGGAGCCAACTTTTCTGAAATATAGGGTTGGGAAAGTATGCTCAGCTTCACGAATCCTCATTTAGGCACACCTGTGGGTTTACTAATGCTCATTATAGAAACCACTTGAAAGTGCCCCAACACTGGTTTGTTTCCAAGACATCAAATGGGAACAACATCAGTTTTAGGACTAGAATCGACTATAGGTTGGGATTCAGTACCATCCAGGTCCTGCAGTGATCTGAGTGTAGGATTTGGGCCAACGCTGTAATTTTAACCAGGCCTTACTTCAGAGAGTGGTGTTTTCCCCTGCTCCAAGCACCCACCCCACATGCATTATTTCTTGATGGAGTCTACACAGTACAGCTGACACCATGGGTTGTAGTAAACTGGACCATTCTTATCCTAAGGATAATTCTGTTTTAAAAAGTATGAGCTCTGAATACCTGGAAGAGAGGTGAATGAGGTTAAAAGCATGCTGGCTCTGGGACCCGGGCTGTCTGAATTTGAATCCTGGCTTCATCCTTACAGGCAAGGGATCCTGGGCGAGGTCCTTGACTTCTCTAGGTCTCATTTTCTTCATAGATACAGTATTTCACAGAGTTGGCTGCTGTGAAGGAGAAAGGCAATACGTGGGCTACAAACTTAAGCCCAATATACTATGTAAGTATTAGCCCTACCATTATGGGGGAACGGGAAGGGGGAGTCACATCCAGAATGGGGAAGCTGGAGCTCTGAAATGCACTTCTCTTCACAACATCACCTGCTGCATAATCCATATTTACAAGGTTCCACCTACCCAGAACTGCACAGTTCATGACTAGACTTTCTGCATCAGGTTGACTCTGTGAAAGCAGGGGTGGGTGTGATGGGTGGGGTGGCTGGAGTGTTGTCTTTCAGTCAAGTAATTTTTTCCTTAAACAGATTTTTTTTTTTGCACAGCTATAAATTTACAGAAGATTGAGAATATAACTGAATTCCCATACATGGCAATTCAGTTTTTCCTATTACTAGGGGAATTATTAGCACGCCACATTAGAAAGGTACATTTGTTACCATTAATCAACCAATATTGACACATTATTATTAAAGTTCATATCCTCTTCATACATTCTTCAATTTTTACCCAGTGTCCTTTTTCTGTTCTAGGGTTCCATCCAGGATATCACATTACACTTGGTTGTCACCTTAGACTCCTCGTGGCTGTGACAGTTTCTCAGACTGTGTTTTTGATGGCCTTGATAGTTTGGAAGAGGAATGGTCTGGCATTTCATAGAACATCCCTCAGTTGGGATGCGTCTGATATTTTTCTCATCATTATAATAGAACGGGGTTACTGGTTTTGGGAGGAAGACCACAGAGGCAAATGCTATTTTCATTTCATTGTGTCAAGAGTACATGCTGTCAGGGTGACTTCTCACTGATGGGGTGACTCTGGAGCCCCCGGGTGAAGGAGAGTTTGTCATGTTGTCCACAGTAACACCCCTCTCCCCGCCCTTTTTCATACTGTGCTCTGAGGGGAAGTGGTTCTGTGCTGCCTGCACTTAAGGAGTGGGCGTTACCCTGCACCTCCTTCAGGACAGAATAGCTACAGAGGTCATCTGCCACTCTTCTATGGGAGATCTGTCTTTTCTCCTCAAGTAAGTTTTCCCATCTAGTCTTGGCTTGAATGAATTATTTTATTTTCACTGAACGCCGGCTAAAAAATAGCATGAAGCCAATTCCCCCAGATTGATGGAATTTTCTGTTGAGTGCCACAGTTGGCAGATCTGGAATTAGTAATTCCTTGCTAACCCTATACGGAAAGACCAAAAAATGAATAAGGACTTAACAATAAAATGAGTGGGATGGTCAAAACCAATATAAATGAATTGCTGTGAGCCGAATGGAAAATCATCCTTTGGCAAGTTCCAACCGGTTACCTCTGCATGCCCTGAGAATGTGCTTTCCGTGTTCCAGGACACTGGGCACCCTTCGGAGGCATGCATCCTGCCCCTCCCCGAAAAGGAAGCAATCTCCATGCCTCCCTTAAAACACACATGCTCAGACTGTCCTAGGATTACCATGCTCTTAAAAATCATCCCCCCGCACACACACACCCTTCTATTTATTTAGAATAAAAGCCATGTCTTACTTAGAATAATTTGCTGGGTAGCCAAAAATCCACTTGAACTTTTCCTTGGAGAGAATCCTTCCTTGTAAAACTAAAAAGTATACGCTTTGGGTTGTGCATTTGAAAGAAAATGGGAGAAGATTATTGTTGGATCAGCCTGTAAAGTTTCTACATCTGTTTGGTCAAACATTAGCTACCATTATCTTCATTCTATCAGTATATATATTTTTTTCTCTGAAAGCAATTCAAAATTTGCTCCCCATACATGAAACTCACAGACATAGGCTAGTGTTGTACATTTCTCCAAAGTTTACCTTGAGATGGAAAGACCTCTAATGTGCTAGCAGGTTCCTTGCACCCACCCCCTCCTTGGGTCGGGCACAGCCTAGTTGCAGCATTCCACGGCTCTGACACATCTCCTTGGAAACCTACCCATTGCCTGGTATATAGCAACCTGCATTCCCCAGTGACAGAGACCTTGATTCCTGTCTTATCCTGTTCCTCCATGCTTTCACACACATCTGAGGCCAGGCCTTCCTTTTAATCTATTATCTCAGGCCATTAAAATGAGCAGAAAGAAAAAAAGCCCTTAAACAGTGCCAGTGTAATTGTGGCGAAGGTTCTTAAAAAGAATTATCATGGCCATTTCAGAGCCTCCTCAATTTCCCCATTTCCTGTAAATGCAGCAAATGGAGAACTGCCAGAAAGTTCAGGGAAGGAGATGTTGGGCTCGCAGGTGGATTCTGGCCAACTAAACCCCTGATGACAGTATTTTTCTAAAGGATGGCACTCCATTTCCAGATTAGGCACAGTCCCACCTTCATTTAACAAATCAGGTGTCCTCACTGTGTCACCCACTGGCTAAAGCATGATTATCATCATCCTTCTGGGAGATTTTGGATCTCGTCCATTCTTAACCATTATTTTTATTCAGCACTACAGTTAATACAGACAGTATAAGTGAAAGTTTTGCTCACCCTTTGCTCACTTGGAAATTTTAGAAATCTTTATTTTTTAAAATGAGATTATTCATATGAGCTTGTATTCTTCAGATATTTTTTCTTTTTAATTAACTCAATTGCTCGATGGGGTTGGGGGTGGAGGGGAGGGATCCAGCCAATCTAAGGGCTTTGATTAATGTTTTATAGGTAGGTAGTGTACCTACAGAGGTACACCAAAAGAATACCAATTTGCAGAATGCATATGCAACCACAAAAGGAAATACAGTAATCTGATATTTGGTTAGATTAAATCAGATATCCCTATTTAAACCACTGGCTTTACAGAAATTACTCAAGTGTACTTCATCAACCCCAAGCATGTACACTAGGGTTCATGTGGGATTCAAACCCACCTTTTTGTATCAAGGAGTCTCATCAAGTGTCCGTCATGTGTCTGTGTGCAGGATGCAAAGAGCCGGGGCATCCATGAGTCACGATGTGTCATTCATGGCCTATGGGCTGCCAGTGAACAAAGATTATATTAGGCTTTAGTTGAGAAATAAAACTTCAGAACAATGTACTGAAGTGGCTTCAACTAGGACAGGATTGAAAGAGAGAAAAATGTGATTACTTAACCAAATAAATTCTCTAGTAAAACACCTACCTCAGCTATTCACTACTGTGATCCCATCTAGATGGTGCCATTTCAACCAACTGTACTTCTTCCACAACCTCAGTTTCAAGCACCCCATCTCTAATCACCACCGCTGATTCCTGAGTGCTCAGACTTTAATAATGCCTCCGCCCTGGAGCCTACAATCCATTGAACCTGCCACCTTTGCACTTCTCCCATCTTCCCTTTCCATCACAGCCCTCCTAACCCATCTTAAATTCCATGGTCAGTCATTAGAGTCCGTCCTTCACACACACCCACAACTTACTGCCTCACTTTGAATTCATGTTCATTAACTTCAAGGGGTTCTTAAGACACCTGGCCATCAGATCCATTTCCCCAGTCCATTGCTCTCCTGTTCCCCTCAAAGCCCATTTCATACTTTCCCTTTTTCTTCAAGCCTTCCACATCTCCTTTCTCATGTCACTCTCTGCTAATGACTTATTTCCTAAGACACACAAAAACACAGAAGCACTCAGAAGAGAACTTCTGCCACACACTTCCACTGCCACATCCCACAATTTGCCTACCTCCACCTTCCCCACCATCACGTAGCCCATCTCAGGCCAACAGGAGGGCCCCTCCCTCACCTTCATCGAGGATAGCACTCAAGGATTCACTACCTGCATCGTTGGCTTTTCTCCCTTCTAGGATATTGCCCACCCACCTACAAACATGCTATTGGTTTTTCCCCTCTTGAAAAAACAAAACAGGCTGGGTGCACTGGCTCATGCCTGTAAACCCAGCACTTTGGGAGGCTGAGAAGGGCAGACCATGAGGTCAGGAGTTTGAGACCATCCTGGTCAACATGATGAAACCCCGTCTCTACTAAAATACAAAAATTAGCTGGGCGTGGTGGCGTGTGCCTGTAATCCCAGCTACTCAGGAGGCTGAGTCAGGAGAATCTCTTGAACCAGGGAGGCAGAGGTTGCAGTGAGCTGAGATTGCACCATTGAGCCTGGGTGACAGAGCAAGACTCCGTCTCAAAAAAAAAAAAAAAAAACTGCTTTGAACCCACGCTATACTTTAGCTTCTGCCCTATTTTTCTGCTCCTCTCTATGGCAATTAGGTTTTTGCCTCCACTGTTCCAGTGAAACTGCCTATATGCAGGTTTCCAGGGCCTTCCATGTTGTAAACTCAATGGCCAGTTCTCAGCCATAATCTCCTTGGCCCTATCAGCATCATTTAACATAACTGATCATTTCTTTATCCTTAAAACACTTTCTTGGTTTCCAAGACATTGTGCTCATGAAGCATCTCCTTCTCAGTCTACTTTGCTGAATCCTTCTCTGTCGACCTCTTCACATAGGAGTGGCCTCTTACTGTAGAAGCAGCACTGGAAGCTCAGGCCTTGTATCTCTTTTATGTCTATGCTCAATCCTTTGGTTTTCCCACCTAGTTTCAAAGCTTTAAGCATATCTGCTGAGGACTTACAAATTTCTGTCTTCAGCCTGCTTGCACAGCTGTCCTGAACACAATGCTCACGCATCCAACTGCACAATCAAATCTCCATTTAGATGGATAATTAATATCACCAATGTCATACACACAAAGCTGAACTCCTGCGGTTCTGTGCCCCTAGACCTCTTCTGCCTTGGTCTTCCATATCCTTGTTCAGTCCAAGCATCTTAAAATCATTCTTGACTCTTTTCTGTCACAGCAAATCTTGCTGTCTTACTCTGCCTTCAGATCAGAATCAGAATTGGATCACTTCTCATCAGCCTCCACTGCAGTCATCTTGACTCAAGCCCCTTGTCTTTGCATGGATAATTGTCATTGCATCCCCTCTCCTCTCCCTATTTTTGCCCTTGTCCCACTTTGGTCTACCCTAATACAACTGCCAGACAACTCCTATTATAGTATGACTCAGGTCATGTCATTCCTTGTTATAGAGGTATCCAGGACATTCTATCTCACTCTGAGCAAAAGCCAGTCTTTGTGATGGCATCAAAGCCAACACCACCTGTCCTGCCCCACCTCCCACCCCATGAGTCTCACTGTCTTCCTTCTCACACAGCCCAGCCATGGGCCACTTCCACTGCAGGACCTTTGCCCTTGCTGGTGCCTCTGCCTGGAACGTGCTTTCTCTAGATATCTATGTGGATCCAGTCTTCAATCAAATGCCATTTCCTTAAAGAGGCTTTCTCTACCATCTTGTATAAATTTGCAAGCTCTCCCTACCCCCAAACATGTTCTTCCCAACTTTATTTTTTCCCAACTTTATTTTTCTTCATAAAACTTTCTCTGCTATTAGACATTGGTATGCAACTTAGGGGCAGTATACCAGGGAGGTGGAGATATGGGTAGGTCCTAGAGTCAGTTTGCCTGAGTTCAAAGCTTGACTGTTCATGTACCAGGTACTCAAGATGGAATCTCTCTATTCTTCACTTTTCTCATCTGTAGAATGAGAATAACCATAGTACCCATTTCATCAGGTTGCTGGCTTAATATTTGTAAAGTGCTTAGAACAGCATCTGGACCATATTAGGTGCTACATGGTTAGCTAACACTGTATATATTTCATCTATCTTTCTTTTATCCTGCCTCCCCCCACTGGAATATGAGTTTCATGAGGACAGGCATTTTTGTCTGTTCTATATGCCACTATAGCCTTATCATACAGGACAGAGCCTCATCTAGAGCTGCTTCTCACCATATATTTGTAGGACGGCAGGTCATTGTAGCTTCTTAGGTACTCAAGAGTCAGTAAGGAACCCTTGCTGAAAATTTTCTTAATAGAATGATGTGCATTTTAACAACAACTAGAGTTCTGCTGCAGACATTGGCACTGGCCTAGATAAATCTGCTAATCATTCACAGATGGCAAGCCTCTTCTAGATTATTTCAGAAGTCACAGAAAAGACTCTCAGAATGCTAGGTGGGCATGCGCCCTTCCTATTTTAGTACTAGGTCAATAGCTATCAAAAATATAATTTTCTTTTTTGAGACAGAGTCTCGCTGTGTTGCCTAGGCTGGAGTATAGTGGTGTGATCTTGGCTCACTGCAACCTCCGCCACCCGGGTTCAAACGATTCTCCTGCCTCAGCCTTCTGAGTAGCTGGGATTACAGGCACACACCAACATGCCCTGCTAATTTTTGCATTTTTAGTAGAGATGGGGTTTCACCATGTTGGTCAGGCTGGTCTCAAACTCCTGACCTCGTGGTCCACCCTCCTCAGCCTCCCAAAGTGCTGGGATTACAGGCGTGAGCCACCACACCTGGCCCAAAATAATTTTTTTAATAAAAGGGATCTAACTGAGGTGTACTAATCATAAATCAAAACCTCTCTTCCTTTGAGCTGGAGCTGCAAGGAAAATAAATAAATATCAAAAAAATAAAAAACACAAAACCTCTCTCGGTGTTTTCTGACCCGAGTATTCTTCACAGGGCCACTTTAGGAGAGTAAATATCCACAGAGTACTCTGTGGCCCCCAGTCAAATGGGATCCAAAAATATAGGACACAATTATTCTGTGCCAACTCCTGAGCTCCAGGAAAAAGGACTCAGAAGGGTAAGCTTAAGAGTTCATATCTTTCAACTCGATGAAATAGCATTGTTTTGGTTGTTGTTGCTGTGTTGTTTTGTTTTCATAAAAACAAACCTAGCACCAAGTCCTGGCTGAAAAGTCGGGGTCTAAGTCCTTGCCGTTCAGTTTGTGTTCTGTTTGGTATGATACACACTTGGAGCAGGCTCGGGTCTGAGAGCAACCCCAAAACTACCATTTCTGATATGCAGTTTGATAAGGATGGAGGCGGATGGAATTCTCTTTTAAGAAGTGATGTTTAAGAATGGAGTTGTGCCTCTTCCATTTTTGAGACTAAAAGGCTTAACTGAAAAGATAGTGAAGGCTCTGCCCAATCCAGCCATTCATAGGTGAACACATGCCTCCGGCTCTTTTTCTTCCTTTGGTAAAAGTCTGATTCTGTAGCCTCTGGCCATGTTCAGGCGGCAGGGCACTCCCCTGGGAACCACACCCACCTTCATCACGCAGTGAGCACACCAAACAGGTTCGCCTGGCTAGACGGTGGCTGAGGTGTCTGCGGCAGAGGGAAGTACAGTCATGCACACGCCCGATGACGGAGCCACCGATGGACACCTCCACATGATCCTTCAATTGCTCTGCTATCCCCTGGCTTAAAATAAACAGAATAACTGCACAAAGGTGGATTTCCTGTGTAAGGAGAGCAGGGCTCATGGGCCCCTTCCCAGCCCTGTGCTTACTTTTGCAATCGTATTTTATTTTTTAAAGAGGACTCACATATTGTACAAGCCTCAGGCCCCACAAAAACTTGTTTGCCATGACTGTACTAAATTTTGTAAACTGTTTCATATACTTACCTGTTTATGTGAACCACTTTATAAGGTTGTGTTGTGCCCATTTACCAGAAACACAGGCAAGGTTGAGAGATAACCTGAGTCCACACAGCTAAATTGTCCATGAACTATGGCCACTCAGTAGGGCCTAAGGGTTAATTGAACTTGTTTTGATGTCTTTAGGTATTTTTACTGGTTGTCCTGATTTCAAATGCATCTCCCACATTAAAAGACCTGGCTCTCTTTTGTTTTATGCTCATGGAACTGTTCAGAACAAATGTGCCAAATCCTAGCAGTAGAGGGTATTGATGAACCCAAGGAAGCCAAGCCCATTCTACTATCTCTCAGCCTGTTCACATCTATGAAGAGAAATTGCCATTTAGGCCTGTAATCCCAGCTGTCCAGGAGCCTGAAGCAGGAGAATCACTGGAACCCAACAGGCAGAGGCTGCAATGAGCCAAGATGGCGCCACTACACTCCAACCTAGGTGACAGGTTGACACCGTCTCAAAAAAAAGAAATTGCCATTTATAAAACCTTATGAAAAGTACAGAAACCAATTAGGAACTAAAATGCTTATATTAAAAGATTTTAAAAATCAGCATCAGTTGTATCATTCTCCACCTAGTTTTTCAGAAGGCTTTTGTCTTCCATAGATGGAACATCTTGATTAATTAACCAAAGAAATATTTATATAATACTTACAGTATTTCCGTATCTTAAGAAACTCAGAGAAGAGTTAACATTCTTGTTTCTAACTCTGTGATGAGCACAGGCACATTCTGCACTTCTCTCTTCCTAATTCAAAGAGGCTGCAGCCTGTTTCTTAGCAAGGGAAGCTGAAAGTAAGGATAATGTCTGGTTGAGTCCAACATGCAGACACATAAAATATACAAATGGTGAAAGCTAACACCAGGGGAAAATTTTTAAGAACCAGTACACTAGTTACTAGGTATATTAGATTGTGATGAAACACTTGGGTTGGGGCTTAATAAACCCAGACTGTTCATCCCTCTACCTCTACTGTCTTGTTCAGTAGGTCTAGGGTGGGTGTGAATGAATTTCTAAGAGGTTCCCACCTGAGACAGATGTTGCTGGGGCCAGGGCCTCACTTTCAGAACCACCACTCTTGGAGATGTTCTGGAGTCCACAATCCTGTGCACACACAAACTTTGTCTTATTTCCTATTCAACCCTCACAAAGCTCAGTGCAAGAGCATAATAAAGCCCTCACTAGTTTTTGACAGACCTTTCTTAGAATTTAATAAGACACCAGTAGATTACCATTGGTGTGCTTTTGATGTCAACATGGCAATACCTTCGTACTTCAGGCCTTGATTAATGACTAGCCACTTCTTTAAAGCCTCAAATAAGCAATGAGAGCCTGAAATAACCAAAAACTTGCTGTGTTGTCATTGTGTGTGTGTGTGTGTGTGTGTGTTTCTTTTCTCTTTTAAATTTTTTCCTTTTTTTTTTTTTTAATTGTACTTAGGTTCTGGGGTACATGTGCAGATCATGCAGGATTGTTGCGTAGGTACATACATGGCAATGTGGTTTGCTGCCTCCGTCCCCCCGTCACCTATATCTGGCATTTCTCCCCATGTGATCCCTCCCCAACCTCCCCGCCTCCCACTGTCCCTCCCCTAGCAGACCCCAGTGTGTGATGCTCCCCTCCCTGTGTCCATGTGTTCTCATTGCTCAACACCCACCTATGAGTGAGTTCATGTGGTGTTTGATTTTCTGTTCTTGTGTCAGTTTGCTGAGAATGATGGTTTCCAGATTCATCCATGTCCCTACAAAGGACATGAACTCATCGTTTTTTATGGCTGCATAGTATTCCATGGTGCTTATGTCCCACATTTTCCTTGTCCAGTCTATCATCAATGGGCATCTGGGTTGGTTCCAGGTCTTTGCTATTTTAAACAGTGCCACAATGAACATATGTGTGCATGTGTCTTTATAACAGAATGATTTATAATCCTTTGGTTATATACCCAGTAATGGGATTGCTGGGTCAAATGGAATTTCTATTTCTAGGTCCTTGAGGAATCGCCACACTGTCTTCTACAATGGTTGAACTAGTTTACACTCCCACCAACAGTATAAAAATGTTCCTATTTCTCCACATCCTCTCCAGCATCTGTTGTCTCCAGATTTTTTAATGATCGCCATTCTAACTGGTGTGAGATGGTATCCCAATGTGGTTTTGATTTACATTTCTCTAATGACCAGTGATGATGAGCATTTTTCATATGTTTGTTGGCCTCATATATGTCTTCTTTTGAAAGTGTCTGTTCATGTCCTTTGCCCACTTTTGAATGGGTTTGTTTCTTTTTTTCTTGTAAATCTGTTTTAGTTCTTTGTAGATTCTGGATATTAGCCCTTTGTCAGATGGGTAGATTGCAAAAAATTTTTTCCCATTCTGTTGGTTGCCAGTTCACTCTGATGATTGTTTCTTTTGCTGTTCATAAGCTCTGGAGTTTAATTAGATCCCATCTGTCTATTTTAGCTTTTGTTACCAATGCTTTGGTGTTTTAGTCATGAAATCCTTGCCTATGCCTATGTCCTGAATGGTTTTACCTAGGTTTCCTTCTAGGGTTTTATGGTGTTAGGTCTTACATTTAAGTTTTTAATCCATCTGGAGTTAATTTTAGTGTAAGGTGTCAGGAAGGGGTCCAGTTTCTGCTTTCTGTACATGACTAGCCAGTTTCATTAAACAGGGAATCCTTTCCCTATTGCTTGTTTTTGTCAGGTTTGTCAAAGATCAGATGGTTGTAAATGTGTGGCATTGCCTCTGGAGCCTCTGTTCTGTTCTATTGGTCTATATCTCTGTTTTGGTACCAGTACCATGCTGTTTTGATTACTGTAGCCTTGTAGTATAGTTTGAAGTGAGGTAGTGTGATGCCTCCAGCTTTGTTCTTTTTGTTTAGGATTGTCTTGGCTATGCAGGCTCTCTTTTGGTTCCATATGAAGTTTAAGGTGGTTTTTCCAGTTCCATGAAGAGGGTCATTGGTAGTTTGATGGGGACAGCATTGAATCTATAAATTACTTTGGTCAGCATGACCATTTTCATGATATTGATTCTTCTTAACCATGAGCATGGGATGTTTTTCCATCTGTTTGTGTCCTCTCTTATTTCTTTGAGCAGTGGTTTGTAGTTCTCCTTGAAGAATTCCTTTACATCCTTTGTTAGTTGTATTTCTAGGCATTTTATTTTCTTTGTAGCAATTGTGAATGGCAGTTTGTTCTTGATTTGGCTCTCTGTAAGTCTGTTATTGGTGTATAGGAATGCTTGTGATTTCTGCACATTGATTTTGTATCCTAGACTGCTGAAGTTGCTTAACAGTTTCAGGAGATTTTGGGCTGAGATGATGGGGTCTTCTAAATATACAATCATGTCGTCTGCAAATAGAGACAATTTGACTTCCTCCTTTCCTATTTGAATACCCTTTATTTCTTTTTCTTTCCTGATCTGGCTAGAACTTCCAATACTATATCAAATAGGAGTGGTGAGAAAGGGCACCCTTGTCTAGTGCCAGATTTTAAAGGGAATGCTTCCAGTTTTTGCCCATTCAGTATGATATTGGCTGTGGGTTTTTCATAAATAACTTTTATTATTTTGAGATATGTTTCATTGACACCTAGTTTATTGAGAGTTTTTAGTATAAAGTGCTGTTGAGTTTTGTCAAAGGCCTTCTCTGCATCTAGTGAGACAATCCTGTGGTTTTTGTCTTCGGTTCTGTTTATGTGGTGGATTACATTTATAGATTTGTGTATGTTCAACCAGGCTTGCATCCCCAGAATGAAGCCTACTTGATTGTGATGGATAAGCTTTTTGATGTGCTGTTGCAACTGGTTTGCCATTATTTTATTGAAGATTTTGCATCTATGCTCATATTGGCCTGAAGTTTTCCTTTTTTGCTGAGTCTCTGCCGGGTTTTGGTATCAGGATGATGTTGGTTTTATAGAATGATTTGGGAAGGATTCCCTCTTTTTGTATTGTTTGGAAGAGTTTCAGCAGGAGTGGTACCAGCTCCTCTGTACGTCTGGTGGAATTCGGCTGTGAACCCATCTCAACCTGGACTTTTTTTGGTTGGTAGGCTGTTAATTGCTGCCTCAACTTCAGCCCTTGTTATTTTATTCAGGGTTTTAATTTCTTCCTGGTTTAGGCTTGGGAGGGTGCAAGTGTCCAGGAATTTCTCCATTTCTTCCAGATTTACTGGTTTATGTGCATAGAGTTGTTTGTAGTAATCTCTGATGGTAGTTTGTATTTCTGTGGAATTGGTGGTGATATCCCCTTTATCGTTTTTTATTGCATCTATTTGATTCTTCTCTCTTTTCTTTCCTTCTTTTTTTTTTTCTTTGAGACTGAGTCTCACTCTGTAGCTCAGGCTGGAGTGCATGGTGCCATCTTGGCTCACTGCAACCTCTGCCTCCCAGGTTCAAGTGATTCTCCTGCCTCAACCTCCCAAGTAGCTGGAACTACAGGTGCCTGCCACCACGCCCAGCTAATTATTTGTATTTTTAGTAGAGATGGGTTTTCACCATGTTAGCCAGGCTGGTCTCATCCGCCTCGGCCTCCCAAAGTGCTGGGATTACAGGCGTGAGCGACCACACTGAGCCATCATTGGTTTTACGAGGACAACATCACATTATAAGAGTGACCAACAATGATCAGCCAAAAACTAGAACATAGAAAATGAGCACAGGGAGCATAAGGGTTCTCTCTGGAAACAGAGACCACAGGGCTGGGTCTCCAGGACATCTTCAATACACAGAGAGGAACAGATGAGAGGAAAACCAGAAAAGCTCAACTTCTCAGTGGCATGTCACTGAATCTCTGTCCATGCATTTTCATATTTAGAGCAATGTCCCCAAACTCATTTTCTAGATTACACTCTCTCCAGCTAAAAATATACCCTTTCATACAAATAAAATTTGTGCTTCAAAGAGTTCTCATAATGAACAGTCCTGAGCATTCATTATATATTGATTAGATATATTTCCCTATGCATTTTTAATTAACATGATCATGTATTTCTATTTCATGAAAACACAGTTTCCTCTATTTTTGTGTGTACCGTAGTCCCCACTTATCCATGGTTTTGCCTTCTGTGGTTTCAGTTAACCTGCAGGCAATCATGCTCCAAAAATACTACATGGAAAATTCCAGAAGTAAATAATTTTTTTTTTTGAGATGAAGTTTCGCTTTTGTTTCCCAGGCTGGAGTGCAATGGCGCAATCTTGGCTCACTGCAACCTCTGCCTCCTGGGTTCAAGCAATTCTCCTGCCTCAGCTCCCCAAGTAGCTGGGATTACAGGATAGTGCCATCACACCTGGCTAATTTCATATTTTTAGTAGAGATGGGGTTTCACCGTTTTGGTCAGGCTGGTCTTGAACTCCTTACCTCAGGTGATCTGCCTGCCTCCACTTCCCAAAGTGCTGGGATTACAGGTGTGAGCCACTGCGCCAGGTCTTTAGTAATTCATTTTAAGTTGTGTGATAAAATCTTGTGCCATCCTTTGTCCTACCCAGTACATGCATCATCCCCCCCGTCCAGTATACCCATATCTTATATGCTGCCTGCCCCTTAGTCACACAGTAGCCATCTCAGCAGATTGCTAATATAGCATATTATAGGGTTTGGTACTATCTGTGGTTTCAGGCATCCACTGTGCATCTTGGAACATGTCCTCTGTGGATAAGGGGGTGATTACTTCATGTTTTATTTTTTGCTGCTTTCTCTTAAGCTTCTCAATATAGAAAAAATTGCCTTTGTCACAGTGTAAAACCCATAGGTACCAGTAGGGTAAGCTACAAAAGCCACAGGTGTTCCAAAA